CATCTCAAACGACCCATCTGTAATTCTCTAACTAGCAACCAAAATTTGCGAACTACTTCAGAGCACAGCTGTGATAGAACTGAAACAATTGTAAAACGCGGCATCTCTACTCTTCAAAAGGAAGAAGTGACACTATACAAACTTACTTTTGAAATATTTATAATTTTAAATGAAGTCCAACGATCGGTGGGTGCATCGTTACAGGAAGAAAGTCATGAAATTAAAGAAGCTCTAACGTGTAACAAACAGGGGCAAATACCGAAACAGCGTTAGAAAAGACAGGAGAACCCATGCTAATCCCTGCAGTTTTAGGGAAAAGCACGTACACAGAACATGCGGCGAGCATATCAAAGAAGCTGCGTAGATGCGAGAAAAATAAAAATAAATCAATAATAATACTATGATATAACAACAACTGTGAGTAAATAATTTACGTTTAATTTCTTAGAATACATTACTGTACATAAAAAATCACAGCATGTAATAAAAAATAAACAAGCATCATCTTATTTAATCAGTGCAGTGGCTGAGAATAAAATACAAGCATATGAAACACTTTAACAGGGATAAAATAAAACGAATAAAATTCGACAATTAATTTCTTACAATAGGTAAAAGTTCGCGTCACACCTTTCACCTTGTGACGGTACACCGGTTGCGGAACACTGCTCTAAACCATACGCCAGTGCCTTACCAAAGGACCGCCATGGTTATGACAACGATTCGCCTTCGTCTTCCACATATCCTACCGCTTCGTGTCTACCTTTACAAAATTCCTCTTTACTGCTTGCTTCGTTTCAAAGTCATTTTCCCACTGACGGTTGGCCAGTCACTTTCTCTTAATTTAGAGCCCGTTCAGACGCTCTTGCCCAGATCTTAGTCTTGAAGAAACTTCACTGTTTGGCCTTTAATGACAAGACGGGTCTATCCCTTCTCACTTGTCACAGGCAATTACTTTCTATATTATGTCCTTCCTCGAAACTACATGTCACGACCTCTACAACTATACATATATACTGCACATGGCTTTATTGGCAATATACATAAGCCCCCTGTCAGTCCACAACAGATTATGCCTAATTTTCATTAGCTCACGCTAGACCAGCAATTAGTCACCTCAACGATCATAAGCTTCGCCGCCGCAAAATTTAAGTCTCGTGTTCTGTCGGGCTTCGCCTTATCCTGTATTCCGAACAATTGCATTTTCACGATCTTCTGTCGCTTCTGGTTGCTGACCGCTCTACGCCTTGGGATATTGGTGTTGTTGCGGAGACCCTTGGTTTCTAAGCGCTGCACTTTCGAAACGTCGGTATCTGCCGCAAATCCCAAGGCAAGGATACGACATCGCAGACCACCGCGACTCAATGGCCCCTTTTACAAGGTGTTCTTGGAACGTATCCTTCCGACTTTGCTAGAAGACATGCCACTGATTGTGCGGAGGCAAATGTGCACACAGCATGAAGGAGCACCAGCACAATTCAGCACTGTATCACGAGACTACCTGGATGCTGCTTTTCATGGTCGTTGGATAGGAAGAGGAGGCCCAGTGCCTTGGCCACCCCGACCCCCACCTCTGGACTATATCGTCTGGGGCCATGTGAAAAGCCTGATCCACGACACGCCTGTAGATAATGAATTCGAGCTGTTGGCCAGAACGCTTGTTGCATGTGACGTGATCCGTGAGACACCTGGAATATTTGAAAGGGTGCGCCTAAGTCTCTTGCGTCGATGTAACGCATGCATTGAAAATGGAGGGCGCCAATTCCAACATCTACTCTAGCAGGTGAGTCTAAAATGTCTGGAGGGGGTAATATGCCTGAGCATGCTCTTCGACATTGAGGCGCCAAGTTTAAACAAAATGATTTTAAATGCCGCCATAGCGCTGCTATTTTACGTTTGTGGACATGGGTTCCTATTTCAAAGTTGCTCTATAGGGAACCCTCAGTACGCTCCTGAAGTATGGCACCGAACTCCTGGGACATCCTGTACAAGTGTTAAATGATATTTTCACTTTTATATGCTTTTCTTATTTTCTAAAGAAATCTATACTTTTCCTTTCAGTAATTTAACTGATAAGTTCATATTCTCTTATTCCATTCAGTTAAAATAGAGGCTGTGACTTCAAACGTTGCCTCCTTCTCCCTGATCAGACGGCCCTGCACTCATGTCCCGAAGCAGTCACGCACAGGCTTGCATTTAAATTTATTATATTTTAATATTAATAACCACTAATAACCACTTGGCGGGGTAATCAATCTGTTAGGCAAAATTGCGTGTACGATGTATATTCCGCACTGACGCGCAACGTTCGCGCATCTGTTTGAAACGCATGTTTGAGCGTCTGAAATGAAACATTCGCCCATCCTGTAAGAAATGGTGTAATTTACGTTGTGTGCCTGTGCCTTCTCTGTGTTCATACATAGGTTTGTTTGACAAAAGTTTTCTGGAAATCTTATCTTCGTATTAACCTGCCCTATTTTGAACATGAGGACTTTGTAAAATTGATGGTTAAAATCTGACAGCTTCCATACAATTCTGCAACACTTGTTTGTGTATGGAATCATTTTGAAAACAATTAAGACTAGACTAAGGATTTGTCTAACGTACCAACAGAAGTGGGGGGTACGCGGTAGCGTAGTTGGTTGAGGCATTATTCTACAAGCCGGAGGGTCGCGGGTTCGAGTCCCGATGAGGTGGATTTTTGTAATTTATCTAATCCTCCCAGCCTAACCATGGCCCTGGGGTCGACTCAGAAATGAGTACCAGGAATCTTCCTGGAGAGTAAAGGGCGGCCGGCGCGTAAGGCTGACAACCTTACCGCCATCTGTGAGCTGACTATCTAGAGCCTCGACAGGCCTTCACGGCTTGTTAAAGAGATAAATTTTTACAGGAATTCAAATCTTGCATCATTTTAAACCACATAAATTCATGCCATATAACAAATAATATCATGTAGCATACCGTATTTATCAGATTACATCAAATGCCAAACCAAATGTACTCAAACATCCAGTAAACTATCATATAATACGAGTATATCAAATTATACCGCATTGTGTTTCATGAAAATGACTGTATAATGAAACATAACGGGGATACACTTCCTTGTGGAACAGGGCGACTGACAAGTCGTTAAGAAGCTAGGCGGACCATACGCACGGCCTTATCTGCGGACCTGTACCGTAGCAGAGACCTTCGTGCTTAAATCTGCGACAGCGTACAGAAGGACCCCGAGTTGAAGACCACCGTTTAGATTCCTATGGTTAAAAATGAGTCTCCTACCCAATGGGTACCGGGGGTAAAACAACAGGGGCGTGAAGCTCCATTTAGTGTCTAGGCCAAGAATGATAGAGCTATACCTCCACACCCCCATGTGTCTTCGTGGTATAGTGCTTCACTTCTATGGTTAATGGCAGAAAGACGGACAAATCCGCGGGCTTAAGTTGGACAAAAACAAAGAAAAACACGTTCGAGAAATTTCATATGCTTCCGTTCTCAAGAGAAGGAAAACCCCCAACCTTCCGGGTCCCTAATCACGAGATAGCCTCGGTGCCTGGTCGACCGCAGACCAGCCTAAGTCCAAAAAAATACGTTTGTGAAGCTTGTTGTGTTTCCGGCCTCACGCCAGGGAAAACAAAAAAAAAAATGATGTTTCTACCATCAATTGACGAAACATAGCCATTCTCTTACATCTGTTTAAACGAACTCGCCTCAATCAATTCGCAACCACTGTACTGAAACACAAAAGGTATAAACACCAGAGACCAGGCTAAGTACATGAGAGCTAATAAGAAAAATATACTTTATAAATTGTTCCAAATACGTACAAGCGTGGGACCAGGATAGATAGATCCGTGGAAATTTATGTCACGGAACCAAACTAATAACAAGGTCCATGACCCCACGGCATGGAATAGAAAGGAGAACTAGTAAAAAACTAATAGTGTCTAACTAGCGTCAACAATGGAGTAAATCACGTCTATCTAATTTAGAACCTAGTAGAATCCCATAGTAACTAATGATACATTCGATTAACAAAAAAAAGACAGTATTTTCTTTGTACCGTGTTGCGCACTAATAACAGACCTGTGCATTTAATGAATATATCGAAAAACGTTCCAGTTGGTTTAAAAGGTAATTGCGTCAAAGGGAAAATTATAATTATGGCTATTCTATGAAAAGAACAAGTCGCCCTCTACTGGAAACCGCCAAAGTTCTAACCGGTTCTAAGCCCGTGTGTGTGTGCTATGTATGTGCGTGTGGGTAGTGAGGATTCAAACCTGGGGTTAAAATTTCGGGAACAAATCTGAAACGGCCCAGAATAGAGCTGTGTCTGCCTATAGACACGGCCATTCCTGTACTTCAGAGCCCTTAAAGAAATCTATCCCTGTAACAGGCCATGGAGGCGGTAAGGTTGTCAGCCCAACGCACCAACTGCTCTTTAACCCCCCCCCCCAGGAAGATTCCTGGTNCTCATTTCTGTTAAGAGGCTGAGCCGGCCCCAGGGTCATAGTGCTGCTGGAAGGATTAGGTCAATTGAAAAAATCCACCTCATCAGGACTCGAACCCGCGACCTTCCGGCTTTCAGTATTGTGCCTCAATCAACTATGCAACCACATGCCCTGGTTTTTCAAAACTGTTGGAGAAGCCTGCAGATGGTGTACCCAGAGCGCTTGCAACTGGACAGTCTCATCAAAATAAATAGACAGCCGCCTGCTGGGTCCTGGTGCAATGAATCCCAGCTCTGTGACTTGCAAGAAACAAGGCAACAGCGGCGGCCCACAGGTACAATAAATGAATGGATGAGTGAACAGGCGGTATATAGTTCTCCTTCTGGATATACAAAGCAACAAAATCAAATGGTATGCCTGTTATTCTTATGGTATAAGAATATCACTACCTAACGGTATAGAGAAGTACTTGAAACAGAATGAGATCTTAAATGCATGGTAAGAAAAGTGAAATATGAAAATACAGTTTAAGAAGAAATCATGATAGACATGATTTCATGACATATTATTCAATTTAAAACTGCTCTCATTGTGTTTAAAAATCACTACTATAATTATTAAGATACTTGACAGTTATTCTGCCAGACTGTTCATAGTTAACATTTAGTGGATGTCACTCGCCTTGTCAGGAAAGCATAAATTAAAGTGAGTGTAAGAATGATACCGAAATTCACCAGATCAAACAATATGATGTAAACTGTGAGTGGAAAAATGAACTTCAGAGATTTACACTCAGAGAAGCAAACAATGAATATTTCATTGGTGTGCCATAACCTTATGGAAATTGATCAATTTGGAAGAGTGAAATGAAATGGCTGCAAAGGAGAATGGTTGAAGTGAAGTCAACGGAAATTGTATGGGTTTCTGCTTGAATGGACTTATACATATGTATTTTAATACTGACAATAATACACGTAGTTCATACAGCCGTCATGTATCTGCATGTATTGTTGGTGCAGAAATCTCCGGCCTTCAGTCAGTTGAGACGACAATTCTGGGCATTCCTATGCTTCTTTCTGTGAGGTCTCTGGATGACCTGGAACAAGGCAATGCTGACAGACAGTCCACCATCAGCACCAACATCTACAGAAGCAGTAGTGATGAAAACAGCTGCATGTAAGTGTGGACTTTCCATTTCAGAACTTGTTAGTATGATTTTATAGAAATATCCTTTGGTGTAATTTATGTTTATACACACCAGATAGGAGAACGCTTGAAGTGTCTAATTAACTGGTTCAAAATCTTATACCGTCTACAGTTGCTATGAAGATACTACGATATGTATTAGGTGTGAAGGAAAGGAGAGGCATACATAAAAATCCACTTGTTCCTGGCTGAGCTTGAGTCAGAGAAAAGAAATGACACACTCTGAAGAGAATTCTGACTTCAGTTGCATGTTGATATTCTGACAATTTCATTTTGGCATTGTGCACTATAGGAAGTTCCGTCTACGATGAGTAGGGACCGCATTTTAATGCAAATGCATATTTCTTTCTTACAACCAAAAAATATGCTCATTTGAATATATGTATGAATCACTTCATTTCTTAAGTTTTAGACATGGTTTGATGGTGCATATATGATAAATATGACACAAAATTGCCTTTCCTTGCCCATGGGTTGCACTGTGTTGCATAAACAATTCATGCAAATTGTCAACTTGTTGACAAGTTGGTGTCTCCTGTGAAGAAGGCATTTGTTAAAGCCCCATATAGAAAAGAAGCCTTTAAAGCAGTAGTACCGAATGTTCCACTTCCACTGGAGCACGTGGCTGTGTGCAGCGAGTTATTATACTGAACATTTAGAAACAGGAATGTCGTGAATACATTTGAGCTGAAAAGTGCAGCATCAATTCAAATTGCCCAAGATGTACTAAAAACCTCAGAACTAGAAACTAATCTTTCCTATATATCTACTCACTTCTCTCATCTTCCATCCGCCATATTCTTACTGGAGGCATGCAATAGCAATACTGCTGTGTACCAATCACTGATTGTATTCAAAACCACTGTGTCCAAATTGAATTCAGTTCCTAGAAGAGTTGGTGAAGTAGTAAAGGAAAAGTACACAGCATTCTTTAAAAAAATGCAGGATATGAACAAATTTGTGGAATCGAAGAAATTCTAGCCAGTAAACATATTGAACTGCCAAGTAAAAAATCACTTGCAGTGGAGCAAATAGCGACTTTTGTACATGTGCCCTTAAATTCCTGTGAGGCGCAGAGAAGTTTATCCCGCTATAAGGACATCTTACGAGACAACAGGAGACGACTAACTATAAAAAACCTAAAACATTTAAGTAGTAATTGTGAACTGCAACAGAAGAGAAGTTGAAAGCTTGGAGAGCTAATTGTGAGTACCGTTGTTTTTTTAATTATAATGAAAACATGTTGGCATTGTTGCATGATTTGTATTTAAGTACTGCCTTTCATTACAAGTGAATCATCCAGTAAGTACATAAAATTAACTTAAATGTTAATTTTCTTGGTCTTGTAATAACGTAAAATCAATTTTAATATTTGGTATTAACTTTTTATATGCATTTTTGGAAGTTTTCATGCATAAATGCATACATATTTAAGGGATTATTAGAGCACAAAAATCCAGCTCCTAATGATGAGGTACACACACGTGATTTTTCCTGAGCCTCATGAGCTATTAACGCATTGACATACTATGTAATTTTGCTTAGTAAAATTCGTACATAACATCAAAATAGATGCCTCAGAATTATCACAATACTTAACTGCAGGTAAATGTGTGATAAAATTAGAGTCTTCTGGGACGTATAATACTGTCAACATTTATCACTGTTTTTTAAAGCATCCTATAACTTCAGGCACAAGACTCTTCTACACTGAAGATGAAAACAAGGGATCCCTCTGAAATGTTGATAAAAATCTACCAGACTGCATGGCATCACATCCCAGAAGGGAGTAACCTTCATAATCCCTGCCATTATTACCTCAGATCTCACATAAATATCTGCTGTCCAATAAGCGAACACTTCTGACGTAATCCATCGAAGTTTCACAAGAATTAAAGTAGCAAATGTCTACTTAATGGGCTGAGGTCCCACAGCTACTACAGTATGTCAGGTAAGTGTAAAGGTACAAGTAAATCTGTCCCTGCCCTTATTTAAGGCCATAAAGACGTATGGGGAAGTGGAGGTAGAGTTCCACCATTCTTGACCTTGGCATTAGATGGAGTGAGTGGTCAGTTTCATGCCCCACTCGCTCTACCCTGGGTAAATTGCCCCTGATACTCACTGCATAGTATGGGGAAATGTTCCATGATAATATTTAAGTTCATAAATCATGAAAAATTAAAGCATACATATAATGTAATATATTGGGGTTACATCGCTATACATTAAAGCATGTGAATGAGTTAATTGGTTCGATAATTTTGTGTTCTAGTAGCCTTCAAGCTGACAGTCAACTGTTCATCCTTCAGAGATTTCACCACTTGGTGCGTGCATTTACGGAACGTGCCCAGAGAATCCGCCGTCGGTTGGAGTTGCCCCCTACTCCTTCCACTGTAAGCAGTGAACCAGGTCAGAACTAGTCAGAAGGTTATAAACACAGTCTTCAGTCCTCTCCACAAAATTCCTATTTATTTCTACCCATACGTGCATTCTTGAGTTGAGTGCAGTCTATTTATTTGTTAGTATCTTTGTGAAAATTCCACAAATTAACTGTGATTTCCCACTCTCTCCTCTGAGATAATTAGGGAAGTATACTAAAGCACTTGACACGAAAGATGAGGTATTCATTCAATTGGGAAACATTTTATGGTGAAGCAGCAGACTAGTCAGACATTACTGTTTAGTTGTGTATTTGTTAACCTTCTTCATCCCTAGAATAAAATAGGAGCCCACAATGCAAATGCTAAGAATAATCATCTCTTGCCAACAGCAAGTCTCATTTGGAATTAAATCATCATCCTGAGCACATGAAACTATTCTGTTATTTAAAAGAAGTTGTCCTTCTGTCTTCAATCCATAGATTTGTATCTTGTAAATTTGTTACAGAAGGGTATGGGCACATTTGGAAAATAAACATGTATACAGTATGACTTTCATTTCGATTTATATGAGAAACTTACTTATATGAAGGAAATGTGAAGGACTTCCAGTTTCAAATTGAAGTAATTCTTCAAACAAGCTCTATGAAATGTTACTTTGACACACCAGTGAAGGAACTTGATTAGCCTTTAAAGCAGTGTGCAATTCGTCAGGGACTCAAGGGATCTCACTTGGTCACTTTATTCTTTTCTATCAATTAGGAGACATAACAACAGAAATTTCAGCATAATTCACAGATGTCTGCGGTTATGATATGTGAAAACTATAAGCAGTGTTGTCCAGCCCAGAGTTCAGTTTGCAGTAAGTTTTATTACAGAACAGAGTGGTTACTAAGCAGAATGCTCTGTTGCATTTGGTGCAGTGTTGATGTGTCTAATGTTTGTTCAAAAGTATGCAGTTTGAAATTTGACAGAGCACTATGTTTAATGACTGAAACTTTCTGTGCATTTCTTTGATCTCTATAAGAAAGTGCCTTGTGATGTTCATAAATAGGCCATGACATCTTCCTTAACATTCATCTGTTAATTTGTTTATTCTATCTTACATTCCATTCACCAGTTGGCTGAAGGGGTACTACATACCTCTTGCTTGTATTCAGGAGATGCCCATTTCAAATCTCAGCTGTGACATCAGCCTCCAGTCCGCTATAAAAATCACACATTCTACTAAACTTTGACTCATAAATCAGGTTTTCATGCTACCTATTCAACAATGTCTATTCTTTTGATATACCATATTCAGAATTATCTTAGTCTGTAATTGTTAATAAATTGTTATAAATAATTTAACACATTATGATAAACAATGTACCGTTTCTCATTAACTACTAACTATCCAGTTCTGAAACTTTTGTTACATTTAGAAAACAAGGGTATTTAAAAAGTGAATCATTTAGAAATTGCATCTTGCCTCTCATTCCAAATTTTAAATTTTTTTAAAAAATTATATAATTTTCTATTGTTATTATTTTTTTAAAACATGTTTTTCACAAAATTACATTTCTAAATGATTCAGATTCTTCTAGTATACATGACGGTGAACCACAAAAAATTTCAAGTCAATAGGTCGATTAGTTTCTGAGAAAAGGTACATTATATCAATAAAACTGAAGTTTGCGGGAAAAAGCAAAAACAGAAATGCTGCATCTTCATATTATAATTTTGTATTCTGGTCTTTCTTTGATACAATTACTGTTCTCCTGCTCCATAATCTGCCTCCTTTTGCTCCTCTTCATCATCTTGACCTCTAGCTGCCTTTCTTTTCTTTCTTCTCTCCTGTTGGGCACCACTTTCTGTCCTGAAATCTGCTTGCAGAATTCTCACTTCATCCAGTTTCTGCAATGTTGTAAGACACCAAACTCCAGGAACAATTCCCATCTTGTTCAGAATTTTTGCCCTTGTAATATTGCCATCACTGAATCAAGCTACAGCAGCATCAACAGCTGTCTCAACTGTAAACGTGGATGCAAAACCTGTCTTAGGGCATCCCTGCCAAATCATACCACTGAGTGGTTTAAATTTTGTGTTTTGGAAACATGTCCACGCCGCATCCAGGTACCATCCGCAGTCACAGCGATATCACCCTCACCATCTACAACTTTACATTCTGCAGAAACCCTCTTCATAGTCTTCTGCTACTTCACACACAGTATCATTAACTATTTTATTGTAACGTTGAAAATTTGCTACTGGTGGAGGTAGGTTCACGATGGCACTGAAAATTTCACCTGCAGCATGGCCCTTTCCTATACATCTCAGTGCATATACTGATCTAAGATTAACTTGATACTGTCCATTTCCTGAAGTGAGAGAAGTAAAATAGTTTTTATTCAACCACATGATGTACAAGATAGAACTAACTTTGAAGCCCAACCTCTACAACACTGTACATCTTCCCTGATTTTTAATGGACCAGTTTTACATTCAGAACACACACTATTTTCTATTATACTGTTAATTATTGCCACAGAAACAAGCCTGTAAACCCGGTAAGTCTTTCAAATTTTCACTTTCGTGTGATATAAAAATGTCTTATAATTTGCTTGAAATGGCACTAACATTACTAACCTCATTCTCATCTATATTTACATTAAAACTATTCTTTTCAGAGTTTTCACTATCATAAACATTTATGGTATTTCTATTCGGTATATTACCATGGAATTTCCTTTTTTAGACCAACGAGATTCACCATGTGGCATTCTGAAAAAGATAATACAACTTTCACAAAGAAATCTTTGAAGATCCACAGAAAAGGAAGGAAATATTGATAAATACTGCGGAAATAGCCGTCATTTCTTTTCCAGACAGGCAACCGACCAGTCTAGCCAACATAAACACAAAACCCGCTAATTATAAATAGCCAAATCATTCCAAAACAGAAAAAAAAAAAAGATTATGATGTCGTAGAAGGCGTGGCTCCCTCGAGCAGGCATTTAAATTCCTGGTAAGCTGGACTTTAAATACTTCGGGGGAGGGGTGACATTTCGAATTTCGCAAAAAAAAAAATTACAGGACGTTTCTATGAACTATCGTTAGTTTAAAAACACAAAAACAAAAATTTCAATATTTTTAAAGATTTTTCATGTTAATGCCCCCTTAAATGTGTGTCTGACATGAAAATAATTCTTATATCATTGTGGTTCAAACATAAAGTAACTTATTTATGCATCTACTCTTTTAGAAGGTCTGCTTGTGAAGGAAGTTATGATTACTCTCACAGAAGAGGAGCAATTCAATTTTTTTTACATATTTTCATTCTTTATGTCCATGCCTATTTCAGCTTACTAAGATATTTGGATTAAGCTGCACTTCATATAATACAATGCCATACACATTTTGTGTGAACAAATAGCAAAACCTGAGATTTGAGTTTTTAATCATGAGAATTTAGACTGTATTGTCTGGGTTATCATACCATGTAGTTTTGCAGGAGGTAACCATATACAAAGCTGCATGATGCATAACACAGAAGACCACATTTTTTGCATTATTCATTAAAGAAAAAGTCAATACAGTATTCAGGTTTTTTGTATCTAAGAATATGAAAAATTATTTGTGGTTATTGTGTATGCATAAGAATTTGATCTAAAGCTGAGATGACCTTAAACACATTATTATCCCTTTTCAGAACATAGTGGACAAACTTACTGATACTGAACCACCAGCTAGACTAAATAGTGCATCATGAATGTGAAAAAGGCGTGGAATACTCAAATGATGATTGAAGATAGGCCTACAAACAAGACAGTACTTACTTTGTTACACGGTAGCCGTGCTCATCAGCTTTGTAGTGGACAGTGCGTTTGTAGAATCCATCACTATATGAGTAGCAACCAGATAGCTCAAGACCATTGCGCTCCTCTTGACGAATCTGAGTGTTGTCCATGATGTTATCATTTATTGCAGAACTGAAGGAATATTTTGCATTTCTAGCCTGTTTCTGAAAAAGTTTCTCCTCTGAACTGAGAATAGTTTCACCTACTCTCTGCTGATTCTGCACAACTTTCTTCTGAGGTTTTTGTTGCTGCTGTAACTGAGGTGCTTTAATGCCATGAACTGTTTCATGCTGAACATTCTGAGTTTGAGAGGGAAACCTATTTCCAGGAATTTGCTGCTGTTGAAGTGGCTGGATCTTGGTGGATGATCGTTGAGTTGGGAAGGTATGTACAAAAGTAGTTCTTTGAGGTAAGTGAGGTTGATGGAGTGGTGAAACTGGCTGCTGAACATGCCTATTGAGTTCATTACTCTGAAGCTCCTTTGCTTGTTTGGCTGTTTGTGGCACTGAGGTAGATTTTGTTAGAATAGTTCCCTGATTTGTATTTTGAACTGCTTGCTGATGTGCAAAAGGGAATGGCTGTATATAGAGTGGTACTTCCTGTTGCACATGATGTAACACTCCAGAAGAGAGTACTTCTTATATACATTTATTTAGAACATGCTTGTACTTCTATTTGGATTAGGGAACGTACGTCTTAATGGCACAGCAAAATTGGAAACGCGAGAGAAAAAGCAAGTATATTGTACACCTCCCCAATAATGTATTTTCACAACATCAGCAGTGGCAACTGCAATTGGTTATGGTCTGTAAGAAAAAACTCCTTTTACTGAATCCTCGAAAGGGCTGAACAAATCCAGCAGAACTATCACTGGTAGCAAATACGAGTATGAAAGTAGCCAAACTCTTTCTGTTCCATGTATTAGGATAATTACTTATCTAAATATAGAAGTAATTACTATTAACGGGCATACATTTAGACCAAATGCAGCTCAAGATGTGTGTTGTTTGATTTTCTTTTTCCCAAGACACGTCCATGCAATTCAAACCTGTCAAGTGCCCGTAAATGAAACAGCATCACACCCAGAATATCTGTCACATAAACCTATATATATACACCTATATTTTCTTCATCATCATACTTAATACTTCAAATTACTTAACCACTCTTACAGAGCTTAAACATTAATAATTTTCCTGCCACAGATCTCAAGTAACGGGTACATATCTCAGCATGATGTCTGCAATACTTCTGCACACACCCGACCAAAGAGTCTTTTTCAGAAAGGACAATAAAATTGATGTTCGCCTGATGTGAGCTATGTAACACATATGCATGTTTACTTAAACCTGGTTCTGAAGTCCCGCCATTCTGTCACAATTTTAATGCCATTACATAATTATTCAAACGAATTTCATTTACAGAAACCTCTGGAGTCGAATATAGGACTGTACCGTGCCGTTCTAAGACGTTTGTACGAAGTTTGATGCTGTTGAATAAAAACTGTAGAGTGTTATGAAGAGATAATGCATTTAGGTGTGGAAGCCCTCAGATTCGAACTCAGGCCCACTGAATGGTTTCCAGTATATCTACAATTTTCGTCCGTGTTGCATCCGGTTAAGTTTCGGAATTAGCAACTAACATACATTCCTATAAACTCCATTTTAAATATGGAATTTGTATTGTACTCATCAAAAATTGAGAATCTGGCATATTGCGCAATAGTAACCTTGAGTAGTAAAAAGTAAAGTAAAGCTATCCCTGTAACAGCCCATGAGAGCCCATGGGGTTGTGAGACGTTAAGGGTCGCACACTATCTAGACAATCGGCTCAGAGATGGCGGTAAGGTTGTCAGCCTTACGCGCCGGCCGCGCTCTACTCCCCAGGAAAATTGTTTATTTTTTAATTCCTGGTACTCATTTCTGTTAGAGGCTGAGTGAACCCCAGGGCCATAGTGCTGCAGGAAGGATTAGATCAATTGAAAAAATCCAATGACCTCATCGGTATTTGAACCCGCGACTTTCCGACTTGTAGCATAGTGCCTTAACCACTACGCTACAACGTTAGTAACCTTGAAGTATTTAGGGAGGGTGGAGGCGGGGTTATGCAGGCACGTGTCAGAATCTTCATTCGCTTGTTTTACGGGGGATTTGTTACGTCACTCCTTTCAGTGACGGATGGTAAACAAAAGCACAGCGACAGCTTCACTCCATAAAATATTCCATTAATAATAACAGAAAGAACTAAATTATGAGCATATTAAGCTATAAAACTAGTTTGTTGTTATAGTATTCTTACTGCATCACGTCATGAAGGCGTACAGATGGCGTGAAGACAAAACTTCATGCATTCGAGATCACGGCACAAACGTGGTGAGAGGTCAGCTTCAGGCTATCATAGCTTTACCTGTAGTGAAATATACATTTGTCTGTTCATTCGATTCTTTTTTGCCGCTCTATCTTTTTCCTGGTCCAGTTATTTGTCAGTTTACAAGTTCGTATATTATGGAATGGCAGAATGTTTGCGAATGGTATATTAGAGATGATATGGGATTGCCGTGGCCAGTATAAAGGAGGCATACTGTCATTCGAATGAAGGGACTGGAGAATACAGCGAAAGTTTCGATCGGGATAGTTCTTCTTAAGATCGAGATCAGAACCAGCGACCTCAAGGATCAGAAACAAAGCAAGCTAGCCCCCAGACCATGACTCTAGACACAGACAGTCCTCAGTACAGCGGACAGAAACATCCTCTGCCTATGCCGGGGCTTGAAACCCCTCAGTCCTAACAGTGATTATGTTTCAGTGATGCGCCAAGTTCAGTCATGCTGACAGAGGTATCTGGTTCGAGACTCTCACGAGACCTGTTATCCTAATAGGATGTTTCGTGCTTTAATTCCTTTCCTTCAGAACAGTACTGCAATAACTCTATCTAAAGAAACCTAAGACAACAAGCCAGCCACTGAACACGGCAGTGCGTCCCCCACCCCCAAGATTTTTAACATTATTTAATTATCGTCGAGGAACATAGACTGAGGGTGTTAGAGAACAGGGTGTTGAGGAGAATATTTGGACCGAAGAGAGATGAAGTGACAGGAGGTTGGAGAAAACTGCATAATGAGGAGCTTCATAACTTGTACTCTTCTCCAAGTATAATTAGAATGATCAAGTCAAGGAGGATGAGGTGGGCAGGTCATGTAGCACGAATGG